TTGGTTTGGATCTAATTCAATGAGGGCTGTTGGTATGCTAATGTGAAGAGTCTTACATTTAATGTAAAATGTGTTGTTTCTAGGTCTACAGACAAGACTGTGAAACCTTTGGCATGGTAGTGAAGATGCTAATTGATAAAGATCCATCATTAGAGAAGTCCATTCAGTTTGCCCTGAGGCAGAATTTGCATGAAATAGGTGAGCGATGCATTGAAGAACTCAAACATTTCATTGCTGAGTATGATGCTGCCAATCAAGATCTCTCAGAATCCTTCAAAGAGGGCTCCTACTAAGGTCAAAAATATGCTTTTAGATCCTCTTCATTGTGTATGCCATAGTATATAAATCTGCTTTTTGCAGGGAAAGAGGAGATATGTTGTTGGAGATATGAACCCAAGACTGTGTTCCTTTGAGGTAGCTCAGGTGGCTGTTCCCTTGTTCACTGTGGTCTCCACAATTGTATTGTTCCTACCTGTACTTGTTGACATATATTCCTTTTAAAGAACGTTCTTTTCAAAAATGTTGTAAAGCAACAAACTATTTTTGAAACCTTTGCATCATTAGCTTGTAAAAAACTGTTCGGTGTGATGTATGCACTCTTATGTTTTGATGCTTATAAGTGTAACTTCAAACTATGTATTTTTTATTGAAATAATAAGACACAACTCCCATTCCTCAACATATGCAGAAATACATCTGGTTTTCATATATACTGTAGAAAGGGATGACTTGCAAAATTGGTCACAATTATGATTTAAACAATCTGTTTTGGTTTAATTTAAACATTCCAATTAATTCTGTAAAATTACACAAGGGGTTATCTCTAGTCTCTGACTGCTAGAGCAGCTCTAACTGCTTGATATAAGAAGTGCTGTATTTTTTTATAATTGCAGGTTCTGCAAATGCTTTTTAAATTTTGGTGTTTTCCATATCAGGACTCATTACTAGTAAGCAGTATTATGTAGGATGGATTCTATTTTTTTTTTTACTGTTTGTATTTGCTGCGTTTTTGACTACACCCTACAGAATGTAACTGCAGGCAGCCACTGAGCAGGGAAAGTTCCCTTTTCCTACTCTGTTCCTCTCCCCCCTTACAAGTTCTCACCACTTTTCATCCATCAGTTTTAACAATAAGGAGGCTGTGTGTAATCTTTATTTCCAGCTTCAAGAAGGAGCAGGAATTGGGGTGGCAAAGATGATCAAGGAAAGCAAGCGGGACCACCTCTTTAGTAGATCGTAGCTTTGGATTAGGTGTAAAGCAAAGTTGATCGGTAAGACCCCAAATTCACCATAATTTCAAACCTAGGTGAGTCTGGGATCATTTTTTACATGATGGAGCAACTTGTATTTTGGGAACAGTGATTGAGGAAAGTCAAGAGGCTGCTAGTGAAAAATATTCAGGACTCATTTGTGGAATCCTATTTACTACATTTATTAAGGTACTGTTTTTTATGAAAGTTTTAGGAAAGGGATAATTTGAGTCATAATCACAAAGAGGTAAGTAATAGCATGATTGTTTTGTCTGCATATACATTTAGGAACATGTGAAACTCTAAAAGGACTAATGACCCAAACTCACCATTTCTCGATTTTGTCAGAATGGGGTACAGAAAGATAAATGAAATAGCATTGATTTTGGATGTACAGGGTACTGAATGTATCACAGCATCTTGCACATGCAAATCTCGCTATGGTGTATTAAGTATTCATTGCATCAGATTCCTGAGATGCCTGGTTAGTTCTGATGTCAGTAGGGTGCGGTTTTGCAGTTGGCTTTTGCTGGTTTCTTAAAGTTCACATTGCTCAAAGGAGATGACCAGCAACTGCTCTTTTTGGCAACCGGGATTGTGTGAGCTGCACAGTGAGTGGAAATCAGCTCGTGGGTCCTACAGGATGCTAATTTGGTGAGGGAGAGAGGGAAAGAGAGGCAACCTGTCGTGACACAGTACCAAGACCTGACCTGCCCCTTCTGGCAAAATTTTTTTGTTGTTTTACCAAGATCAGTTTTACCATTGTTCTACGAAGATCAGTTGTGAACCACAGGCAGTCTTCTCTGATGCAGATGTATAACTACAGCACTTCGCTACTTGTCTACAGGACAGAGAACCTTTGGGGTGTTACATCAGTTTCTGCTTTGGGTTAGAAATACTAATTAAAAAATACTGAAATTGTGTTTAATATATTTTTGATTAAAAATTTCCATTGTTACTGTACAGTTTGTTAGGAGTTTCCTTTGTTAGAATCCTGATTAAATTTACTATGATAAAAGTATCTGATTTTTCAAGTGCTTTTCTATTAATACCTAAGCTTACGATCATAGATATCTCAAGTTGGAAAGGAACTGTAAAGATCATTGGGTACAACTCTGCTCCTCGCAGAACTACTGAAAACGGAACCATATGACTAGGAGCATCGTCCAGATGCTCCTTGAACTCTGGCAGCTTGGGGTCATGACCACTTCCCTGGGGAGCCTGTTCCAGTGACTGACCACCCTCTCAGTGGAGAATCTTTTCCTGATGTCCAGTCTGAACTTCCCCTGATGCAGCTTCATTCAATTTCCTTGTTACTAGTAACCAGTCCTGTTACTGGTAACCAGAGAGGAGATAAGCACTTCCCCCTCCACTGCCCATCTTGAAGTTGTAGATTGCCATGAGGTCTCCCCTCAGTCCCCTCCAGGCTGAACAAACTAAGTGACCTCAGACACTCCTTCCCTCAAGGCCTTTCACCATCTTGACCACGTTCCTCTCTCTAAGAGCTTAATCTCTTTTTTATATTGTGGTGCCCAAACCTGCACACAATATTCAAGGTGAGGCTGCACCAGTGCAGAGCAGAGTGGGACAATCCCCTCTCTCAACCAGCCGGTGATGCTTTGCCTGATGCCTCCCAGGACATGGTTGGCCCTCCCGGCTGCCAGGGCAGTGTTCACTTATATTTAACTTGCCTTTGACCAGGACCTCTACGTCCCTTTCTGCAGGGCTGCTCTCCAGCTTCTTATTCTCCAATTTGTATGTATAATCAGGACTACCCTTGTCCCAGGTGGAGAATCTGGCACTTGCTCTTGTTAAACATCATGCAGCTGGTGATTGCCCAGTTCACTAGCTTATCCAGACCTCTCTGCCCTTGAGGGGAGTCCACAGCTCCTCTCAATTTAGTAGTGTTAGCACTTAAAGTACATTTGACTCCTCTCTTAACCATTTATAAAAATATTAAAGAGCACTGGCCCTGTGAAGCACCACTGGTGACCAGCTACCAGCCTGAGGTAACCCCATTTACTATAATTTTTTGAGCCTGACCTGTCAGCCAGTATTCTTGAGTATTTTATATTAGCTAACAGGTCAGTAAGATCTTTCAAAAGTTTTGTTACATTGTCCTTTGCTTAATCTGACTTTTTTGAAGAAATTGATAAATTTTACTCATGAACTAAGGAGTCTTTAATTTTTTGTGTTATTTCTGTGAAAGGTTTCATTTGCATTCATAAGTGAGAGGATAATGATTTTCCATTTAATACTTGACATTGTGTTGAATGTTCACGTTTAACCTTTTGGGATGTATGCTTTCTGATGTAAGTAAAATATACTATGCCAGTTCCTTAACTTAAGGCAGAAAGATGGCTTTTAGTCTTGCTTCCTCTAGAACAAGCATGTAGTTTGGATTTATTTCAGATCAGTATAAAAAAAGATGTCTCTGGTCTAGTGGACAGTCTCTGTGGGGCTCCTGGAAAGTGGTAGAAAGAGCACTGTTGTAAGAAAACATGCTGTGATGGAGGAATTTGATTTCTTTGTCACTGTAAGAGCTCCTGAAAGTGGAAGTTACTCCTAGCACTTGTTAATGTGCTAACCCCATACCATTCTATTTAAGGTAGAAGAACCAGTTAGAAATATTTCTCATAGGAAGTGGTCAAAACTATTAGAAGTTGTTTATGTCAAGCTGAGAAAACTAAATAAAGTTGTATAGTCATCTTAAATTTTTTTCTTAAATAAGAAAATATTAAGAAGCAACTAGCAATGTATGGAGAACTTTACTCATCTAATATTCCATAAGACGTTGCCATTTGGAGAGTACAAATGCTGCATCTCAGGAGATGATGTAAGATCTGAGGAAATACTGGTGGAGACATTTCTCCATGAGACTGTTACTTGGTCCAACAAAGGACACAGCAGTAGTAGCACAGTATTTTGTTTCTGAGGACCCCAATTTCCCATTTTTGGAAATGCAGGCAAGAAGGGAATCATTGTTGGAGCATCCTGGGGAAGGTATTAAGAAGTCACCATCTCTCCTCATGCCCCGTAACTCCTGGCAGTCTGGTGGCTGTAAAGCAGCTGTTGCCTGAGCCAGGGCAGAGCCTGCCAGCTGGAACCATCCCACGAGGCACCCATGGGCCCATGCAATGTAACAGGGTATTGCTTTGATCAGCTTTCACCTACATGAGACTTGTTTGTACTAGAAAAGTGACTTACACCGTGAGTACCACTTCTGGGAGTAAAGGATCTGTTGCCCATTTTACCTAGAAAAATACAAGCAAGCAAGTGCTAGTCTGATTTAGCCTTTGCAATAGCTTCATTTTCTTTGGTGTAAGCCAGTGCCTGTGTATCCATTCCTTACTTTTAGCTGCTTTTATTTACAACTTTTATATCCTCAAGAAGGGCAAGCTTAGTTTGATTTGACAGGCTTTTCTGGTAAGAAGCCTCTACTATTTCATTCATTTCCTTTCTTCAGGTGGTCAGAAAACCTTTGGCTTTAGCATTTACTATCTTCATTAGTGGATGTCACAGTTAACAAATTTATTTAAAACAGTGGAAGAAGTTTATTATAAATTAAAGTAGCTCCTGCTCCACATCTGAGTTCAAGAGATCTTTTGAGATTAGCTATTAGGTCATAGTTTTTGCCAGCTTGGCTTCTAGAACCACCCAGGATCTCTCTTCCTTTATGTAGGTGAACTTCAGAAATTATTTTTGGGAAAGGAGGGGGAACAATAATAATAAAATCCACATCCACAGGAGTTGCATACTGGTTGTACTGATATATTCCAGTCTTGTGTGGTTTTTACATTTATATAGTTTACATTTTGCTTGACCCATAAATAACACTTGCAAGATTAAGAGGGCCATAGAGAGTATTTACATAGCCCCACCATGCATACAGAGCTTTTAATACCTAGTAGACAAAATTAAGCTGTTTTGCACTGAACATTTTTCAATATTTTTCAGCTTAAACCCCCTGACTAAAATACAAGCAATATTTCATCCATAATGCTGCTGTTAAACCCTTAACAAATCTAGTTTGATCTTGTAACAAACTTCTTCAAATTCAGGGATATAAAAATATTCAGATTTTAAAATTTTAACTGTACAATATGTACATTAGTATTTGCACTGTTAAATTATGAATACATTTAAGCCTATGAAATACTACATTATAAATATCAATGTTTTTTGACTTAGAATTGCAGCTAATACATTTTAAAACCTGGATAATGCATGTGAAAAGACACAATTCTGGAGCCTAATCCCTTAAGCCCTTATGAAAATATTTGTTACGTAAGTAAGTGGATTCATTGACTTAAATGGGGTTACATGCCTGAGCAAAGGACTCCAGCAGTTTTACCTCTCTCACTGCTGAGGGGTGGGGGGGAATGACAGAAGAAACATCACCACTCAGTGGCAGCTAAGTCCAATTCCAGCAGCTGAATTAACACCTTCCTTTAAATAGGCACAAAAAAAACCCCAAACCCAAAACATTCACCTTACAGTTTGTCAAAAAATTGTGGAGGAAAACCTATGAAAGTTAAGTGTATAAACCATTTACTGTTGCTTTAGGATACATCAAGGGTTCGAGCATTTCAGCTCCCACATTCTGATTTTTGCCTCTTTAAGGAGCATTTTCCCAAATTAAAATAAAAAAATTCCAGTTTTTGTGAGGAAACTTGAAAGAGGAAGAGTGAGCTTTATCTGTGAAGAAAAGATACAGCATGGAGCCTTCTTTTTCTTGGCAGCAAGAGGAAAAAGTCAAAGATCACCTATGTGGATATAGCTACAGCACAGGACTGACATTTTTATTTACTTATCTTTGCTGAATCCTCTCTCAGATAATTCAGTGTAGGTGAGTAGCGAGCATAAAATAAAATATCTACAAAAAGTCTCTATCTAAAGAACTGCAGTAACAGTATTTTGACAGCTGAAACACAATATGTAAACCTAGCAGTATCTGAGCAGATCATTTGGTGTGGGGACATTTTTGAATGTTACTTGAACAGTGTAAACTCTGGCAGGGTTATCATTTACAATGGCAAAGCATTAAGAACTTCAGCAACTTGCCTAAGTACAATTATTAATATAAAAAGATGTGGTTCATACTGTAGCAACAGAGTTAACTGGTCTTCCCAATTAAGAAAAATTAAGAATTAATTAAGAAATAATGCAATTTTTTCCTTTGTGTCCCCTCTTCTTCTTTGATTTGGTTGTCCTTTGTCCAAACTGAGAAGTAGATAACGCAGTAGTTGGACCAGAAAGATCATCTGTATAGTACGGATATCTCAGTGACCGTGGTTGTGGAATTGGCTGTCCTAGAAAATATCCTTCCTCTTCAGAATCAGATGATGAGGATGAAGTTGAACACCAGGAGTCATCTTCCTCACCATACAACCCAAAAAACTTATCAACCACCTGATTCCTCAGTGCATAGTCAGACCTCGTATGGGCATACTGTCCATACAGCTCCGCGTTTTGAATAAATGCCCGAAGCTCACGTGAGCTCCTATTCTGAATAAATTTTTCATGATCCTGAGGGGAGTAATAACGAAATCTCTCTCTCGGAGAGCTTCTTCTTTCTGTGGCCAGGTTAAGTGCATTATCTGAACGAGACTTCCTACTTCTTCTGCGATGGTGAGAAGGCCGATTTCCACGTTCTTCAAAATGGTAAACACGCCTACGAGTCCTCTCACTCATTGGAGGCTGACGTATTTCAAGATTCTCATAACTTCCATTATCAATAACGTCATCTGAAAACTTCACTTGCTGTGGTCTGGATTGGGATTTAGATCTTCTCAGTACAGGCATATGGACTGGCTTTTCCTCTGGCAAGACTTTTTCCTGACACAGCTCTGAACTCAGACTCTTCAAGGACTCTGTGCTCCGGTGGAGCATTGAAGAATTTAGAGTTCCCATGTTGCTCATCTTCTCACAGTCCTCCACATCCAGTTCTTGGAAAGTTTGCAAAGAGTAGAGAGATGGCCGTGGCTTGCCTTCTCCATCCATTGAAGCACCTGTGGTGGGAATGGAGAAAGGAGGAAAAGGAAGATGAGAGAAGCATGACAGAGACAACTATTATAACAAAATACGAAACATTTCTTGTCAGCAAAGCAGACCTTATTAGTGTTTTTTGGAACTATTACCCAAAGGACTAGCTTCATAGAAGATTAAACTTTGTTTTGACTTAAAACATTTGAGTATAGCTCTGATTACCAAAGAATTAGTTAACATGAGGACATCAAGAGCAGAAATTCAATGAGTTTAAAATTTTGAAACATGAATACAAGTTAGGCCTTTAAGAAAAAGGATTACTTAAAAAGGATTCTGCAGTCTATGCTTGCCATTTTTAGGGCTAAAATATTTCATGTTTCTGGTACTGCTAAATTCATGTTCCAGCTGTTGCTACAGGAAAGCCAAGCTTATTGCCTTGCAAAGAAGGATCCTTACCCTCTAAAAAGCATCAACAATAAGCTGGCCTGGTGTACTCCACATTTGTGTCCACTGACCTTTCATTCCCATGATAGTGTCATGTGCCCTGTGATGGTCCCAGGTGCAACACCTCTACCTCTAGTTCATTCTCCTCCTGTGCCACCTGAAACAACCTCCCCTCCTCAGTTCCTTCCTTACTGCTTGGCAACTGCAGCCAGCCTGTGTTTGGGCCTGAGCTACATGAGTAGCTGCACTAATTCAGGTTAGAGGAGGAAAAAAATGGAGAAGATGATTGAACAACTTTTAAAATGAGTCTCTAACTCACAGGTTTGGGGGTTTTGTTAGGAAAATAGGAAAGGAAGGTTAACACGCACTTTATCCCTTTGGGTAACTTCAATCACATTTGACAAGGAGGTTCAAAAAAGCGGATTACCAGTTTCCTTTTAGTCAATGGAGAAAGATAATCTCATAAACCTAATTTCCTAAGGCTAAGAAGTTTACCATCCTTTCAGACTTTCTACATATTTTTACAAGCAAATCAGGAAATTATCTGAAGTGTTTTGCAGATTACCTTTAATGTTATCCTAATATATAATGCAACTTCTTAAGGTATGGCAAAAAAAAATGTCATTTGTTTAAAGCTGTGGTTTGTATATAACAAATGCACAGTTTAAGGCCAGTCTTACTCTGTTTGACATTATGAATTTTTTTGCTTTAAGCAAAGAGAAGTCAAGAGAAAAGGAGAAGAGTCTAATAGAATTTAAGTAGCAGAAACACATCTCACTAAAGATTACGTGCTTGATAAAAGCTGTTGCCTACTTTACATGCGTCTCCTACTATTAAAGCTTTTAAAAATCACAGAAATGAAAAATTTTTGTTCAAAATACTCCAAATCTCATACTCTGGTTGACTTTTCTATCAAAACTGTTCATTTATTTCCCCATTACCTGTTATGTTAGACAAAGCCAAGGAATCCATTGAGTCACGAACACTTTGTTCTTGCTGTTTCAAGTCAGACAAACATTCGAGTGAACCTCCATACCACGGTGTTTGGTCGTGTTTGTATCCTGATGCCCCATGTTCCATGTCTAGCTCCTGGATTTTCCTGCTGCTGGCAGGGCCTGGATGGCTGCCATATGCAGAGTCTCCCAAACCATCTTGTGACTGGGCCCAGTACATGTCTGATTGATACTTCTTACTTGCTAGGCTTGGATTATTTTTTTTCAAGTCCAACTTGCTCTTGACCATGCTATCAGAAATCCAGTGTTCACTTGATCTAATGTCTACTTCAGTGGGCTGCTGGAAGAGGCTTTTATCACCAAATTTCAGAAGAAGTTGAGTCATGTAATCTTCATGTTCAGCCCATTCTTCAGGGTCTTCAGGCATTTCTTGCTCTACTCTTCCTTTCCAGAAATCTTCATTAACAAAGCTTGCCTCTTCCCTTGAAAGGCTTAAATCATCCAGCTTACGAGAGAGGGTATCATCAGCATTGTCTGAAAGGCCAGGAAATTTATAATTGAGGGCTGGTGACAGGAGGAGAGACTGACGGCATTGGTCAGCTGACCGGCTGCTTTTTCCCATGCGGACACTCCTCCTGGAATCTCTGGATCGAGCAGACTGAAACGCAGAATCAGAAGAGTCGGAGGCGTGAACATCCTCTCCCAAGCTGCAGGTTTTTGAACAATAAATCTGCCCTTGCTTTGGAAGGAAAGGGCAGCCAAGCAAAGAGGTCTTGCACTGAGCACAAGAAAAGCAAGCTTCTGTGGCGTGCCAGTGCTGCCCATCATAGGTCATCTGAGCATGGTCAACACCTAGAAAGGGAGAAAAAGCAGTGCTTTGGGTTTCTCTAAAAAATTACTTGCAGAATTCATAGTTCTGGAATGTGAAATCAGTTCATAAATTGGCTTTCCCTTTCCCCTAGTTTGTAACTTTAATGCTTAAAAAGGACTTACCAATATGTTCCCCACAGGTCTCACAGTATTCCGCATAGAGAGATTCAAAACAGTTACAGCAGAATGGTCGCCCATCCTTCATGATGTATCTCTGTCCACCCAGGATTGTTTCACACTCGAGGCAACAGAAATGCTTCATGTGCCAGTGGCGACCTTCAGCTTCCGTACACTCATCAGCAAAAATTATCTTTTCAGAAATAAAATGGATACTTTTAGTTAAGTGGCCAAAACCTTACCTTGGGAGTTAGAGCATGTAAAATATCCTAGCTCTGCAGTTCATACGCTAAAGTTATTTTTATTTTGCTGCCTTTTGAATACAAAGACAGAAACAACTATCTCCCACAGCAATTGTGGAATTCTGACCTTTTCTGTAAGAGCAAAAAAAAGAAAAAACCCCAGCACATTTTAAAGAAAAAAAAAAAGGAACCTAAGAATTCAACCATTAAAGAGGCTTCTATAAAGATGATATTTTGGAATATTTGTACAGATATTTTTTCTTATTCGATCTACAAGGTTCAACTCTAAGCACAAACAGGTTTGTGCCTTCTAAATACCATCATATTACTTGTAATATTGCCAATTTAACAAGAAATACCCCTCAGCCTTCCAACGTATCTATGCAGCAGAGCCCTGACTTCTTAAGTGACTACATCTGAAGTTAGGTGTTTCCCAACTGCAGTTTGTTAACTGAACAGCAGGAGTGTAGATTGGCTATAAAATGTGAATTATTTACCTCATCACAGGCTGAACATCGAGGTTTGAGAAGTTCAGCATGGTGTCTGCCACAGTGAATTTTTCCATCTTGGTAGAAGTAGATAAGGTCAACAAGCAGCTCGTTGCATGTGAAGCACACAAAACACGAGGGATGCCAGCACACACCAGGCCCAGCTCTCGAGGCAAAAACTGCAACTTCACCGCCATTTACTTTTGTACCACACTAGGAACAAACCCAGAAAGTGAACACACTTCCCATCCCAAACTTCTAGCTTCTTGCATTTAAACTAAGTTAAAACGCCAAACACAATATGAGATTTTATTCCAAAATTCTGACAAGACAGAAAAAATATTATCAATTTTGGTCCAGACAAAATGTGTCTCAATGAACCTTTTGTGAGTATAAGTTTATTTTATATAAAATAATATTTTAAAGCACATGTCTGTTTTTCATTTGTCATTACTTTAGTATGAACCAGCATTAGGGGTTTTTTTTGAGTAGGAAATACATCAAAGACTCAGTTCATTCCCAGTATCAAAGGTTGTGTTTTGCTTAAGCAAGCACTACCTTCCTTCTTCTTCCATGCAGCTTCAAAAAAAACTTGTTTTGTTTTGTTTTTTGTTGATGTTTTCAGATATAGACAGAGATAAGCTTAAATTTTAATACTGAGATATTGCAGTTTTAGATTATTCAGCCTGGTAGTTGGCTTGTGGCAGTAGGAGCATTACCTGTTCACAAACCGCATGCATCACTGCTCTTGAGAGTAGTTTAATAGTGCCTCGGCCAAGTGCCTCCTTTTTGCGCTGAGAACTGAACATCTGCAGTTCCTTCTTTTCTTCTTCACTTAAAGACTGGCAGTATCTCACCTTCCAGTGAAAACACAAGAGAATGTATTTTATATACTGAGCCTTTAAAGTAACAGATTAATAAGTAAGTGCTTATATGCATGGAATTCATCAGGCCTGCTGCCACTCATCATTAAACTTTTCCAACTTGCCTTCTCTACCATCTTAATATTTAGATAATATGGCATAACACAGAAGTAGTATGGAGAGAGATTTTGCATTAGAGGAAGAAAACTCCACCATGCTAAACTAAAGAGTTGTTTAGGAAAGAAAAAAGATTTTAAAAGCCAAACCAAAATCTGCTGCTATCCTAAAACAATGGAATGAACCCAAATCAGTCGTAACATTGTCTTTTAGATTTATGGTTAAGTGCCCACAACTAAGTATTGCAGTACACACAAGATCTTAAGTATTGACATCCCCGCCCCTTTCTTTACAAAGAGCTTGTTTGTTATTTCCACTTCTACTCCAAATTACACTGCATAACTGAGATGCAAACCTTTTACTATCACAAAGCATCCTTTTTGAGCGCTACAATGCAATTTCAGGAATTTGTAGGTTCCTGGTAATTGGTGGGTGGCTGCAAACACTATAAAACCAACTTGTGTTAAGTTTATTGCAGTGACACCAGCCTCCCTAACAAGCAGAAGCAGTGTCCTTCCAGACAGCTCTTATCTGCACACAGGCCAAGCGGACAGCTGAACAATGGACTCAGTGTACACACCATGCTGCTTTATGGCTCAGATGCCACTGCAGGCCACAGTTGAGGCTTGTAATAAATACATAGGCAGGTAATTCTCCACGTAAAAGCCGGCAGGGAGATCCCAAGCCCTGACGGTTCATCCTAAATTCTGTATTTACCTCGTTATCATGGGGTGGCAGCTGATAGAGAAGTTGTTTAATCCGGTGTTTCTCTCCAGGACTGTTAACATAAGGAACCTTCTCCTCGGGCAAGCAGGCGAAATACAGCTGGACCTGACCAGGAGAAACGCAGAGTTCAGTCCAAGGGAGATGCATCACCCAAGCACTGCCAGCATCCTCTAGCTACTGTTTTATCTCAGGTCTCATTTATGAAGGAAGAAAGTCACGCTACATTAGACCTATGACAGGGTTTTTGCTGAAAATACGAGACCCAAATGAACCAGCTCAGCAAACCTGAATTGTCTCTGATGAAACTAGCACCCAGCTGCTGAATTGCTTTTCTGGAATGCAATTTGCAGTGACAATTAGAGGGGTGTCATAAATTATGCACATTTAATGTTCTCATTATTCCCACCCCCTTTAGGGCTGGTCAACAGCTCTGTGGAAATTCCAAGTTTCCCTCTGCAATTTACCACACAAGGCATGAAGCTTTCCAGAAAACAGCCACTATATAAACAAATTTAATTTGCTCTCTGCATTTTACACATTGTTGAGACAAAAGCTGTTTTGTAGTCTCCTGCTGACCAGGTTCACCCAAAGCATCAGCTTTCATTGCTTCCATGTGGCCTTTGGTAAGAAGGTGAAAACATCCTTCCCTTGGGAGGAGGCTGGATCCAGCCACATTTCAATCAGATGCAAATTAACCATGGAATTTTCATGGGGTGAACGTTTTTGTATCAATCTTCACTCTCTTTTTTTTTTTTTTTCCAGAAGAATATTATGACAGGAAAGCTGTAATGAACACTATGACAAAGCCCAATGGCAAAAAATATTTTTGTGGAACAGCTACAGATTTATTGTTTTTCCTATGCAGCTTCCAGCTTGTCACGAGGCCTGGGGCTGTAAATTTTGCTTTTGGGAAAAATATTACTTGCCATCCAGATTTAAATAATGCTCAGGTCAACAGCTTATTACTGTTCAAGGCAGATGAAAAAGAAGCAGTAATCTGTCACTTGAGTCAGGAAGCAATCAAAACTATTAGAGACAGGCTGTACAAAACATGACTTGGTCTTCATTTAACCAAAACTTAAACAACAAAGTCTACTTACAGTAGACTTACAGCCCACTTGCTACTAACTGTATTTTGAAAAGCTCTGGAAAAAGATAACTTGCAGTAAGAAGTGAAGCTTTAAAGATACTTTATGCCCTTTTCTCAAGTTTATTGCACTGTTCTAATTCATCTTGGAAAAAAAAACTTCAGGGAGTTTGAGCTAGCTAGGATTATAAGGATATTTTAGGGCATTTAATTGTTCTGGAAGAATGTTAGCTTGCTGTTTGCCTTAAGGTCTGATTCATCAGGATTCTTATAGATGCTTAAGTAAGTGATAAAAAGAGTTGCCCTAAAAATAGCCCATTATTTGCCATTCCTGCTGACTTGTTACTTTACTCACTATTAAGAAAATCTCTGCATTGCAAAAAAGGAGACATCTTCTGCACTTTAACTATGGACTGTATGAACTTGCTAGGATTGCTCTGCCTCGTTTAGCAGATGTTGCAAAGCCACCCTGGCCACCTAACACTGAAGTCTGAGTTCTGGATATTACCAAGTACACAGCTTGAGCACAGTTGCAATATCATCAAGTTAATGAATACCATGAGAGGTTCATTTTGATCTCCTATATGAGTGTCGGTTCCAGACACCGTGCAAGAGGAATCCTAGCAGGGACAAATGACAGCCATACAACTATTTAAACAAATGTAAAATATGTTATTATTTGTCACAGTGATAGAACACTTTCATTTACGTGCACTGTAGTGCCATCCATGTCCTAGATGTCAAATGCCTAATTATTTAAAGAGTCATACAAGTGCAGTGAAGTACTTGGCCAAAGAGCACAATGCCATGAGGTATGCCATAGGTTTTAATTTAACCTAATAACTACTTTCAAAGAAAAAGCACATTTCTGTGCTGCTTTTACACTTGACAGTACATATCTCTGCAGCCCATACTTAGTGAAAAACCTTGACTGGGAACTGTTCTTTGGAACATAAAAATCCTCAGGGTTGAGGATTCTAAGCTCCCTACACCCAGCCTCATTAGAACAGGAAACAAACAAAATAAGAAGTTAAAAGTTCTATATGAATTAAAGTTTTATAAATTATAAGAATTTAATTACACTTGTAGAGGGAGCACATAACTCCCTCAGACAGTCCTTACGAGGCTTATTTTTAAAATGCAGAAGCATAGTTGGTACCTGCTCTGGTCTGAGGCCTGGGGGAACCCAGGCATATTCCTCCAAGGCACATCCAGAGTCATCGTCAGAGGTTGAGCTTCGCTGACACCCAAAAACGAGGTTATTGGCTTTGGGCTCCATCTCCAATGGCATGAGTGTGAAGCGTTAAATATTTTGGCTGCAGCTCATCAAGAAACTGATCTGGAGAAAGAGATTAATAGAGCTTTAATAAATTTGAACATGCAACAACTAATTATCAGTGTAAATGATCTTAGAACAGTTCAGTATTCCTTTTGTTGCCCAGAATAATAAATTATTGAAGCTTCATTACAACTTGCTATAAGCAATTCAAAAGTTCTTGAAAGAGTTATAAAAATAAAACTACTCAAACAAAACAAACCCTAGACACACACTACCACATTTGACAACCACAATGTATTTCAATATTAACACTTCTCGTCTTTTACAGTTCTGCTTGTTTCACATCACAGGTTGTACAGAGCTATATCTAGGAAAGACTCATTGAGCAGATATTAACAGCATGAACGACACAAGCTCTTCCTGAAGCCATTACTACCACTAATCTAGTAAAACAAAAGACATGACAGCCACCTGTCAAAAACTAAAGAAATTATTACGGAAAGACAGTTGTGCAAGTAGCATCCTGCTGTTCACAAGGCAGGCACAGAGCAGCAAACATCTGCTGGATTCCTCTGAGAACTTTGTTTTAGCTGTATGGGAGTGGAAGGGCGTTGGTCCTGCTAAGTATCTGAAATTCAATTATGCCAGATTAGTCTCTGTAAAATACATCATGATTGTTCTGTCAATTTAAAACCCTACAGGGTGATGCTTCTGTTGATTCATGAAGCCTGCAAAGCTTAATTTCAGTGGGATCATTTTGAGTAACAACTGCCAAAGAAGGCTCTCACCAAGATCCATAGCAGTCTGCAGTAAAAAGCTTAAGATAAATGTCTTACATTAGAACTTAGAGCAGAAGTTCTTAGGAAATTCAGATGAGTAATTTCAATGAATATATATATATATTTATATAAATACACATAACCAAAACCACAGAGGATGTGTCCTAATATGGCAGACATCTTGACCACTCGGGGTAGGAACAAGCTTGCTGTAACAGTACTACATTACACGTGAGCTATGTCTTCCCTGTTTTTAGGACATTTTTTCACCTATTTATCTAAACACAGATTCAATTTTGTGAGAGCTAGATCTGAGCTGTAGAAAATTCTAATCTTGCCATATAACCTTGCTGGTGAGTCTAATGTGGAGAGCAATCTAAGAGCTTCTGGTGGGTCCCACGTTATTACATATCTAGTCTCATCACCACCGTATTAGAGAAAATAAGTTGCTGATGGAAGATTTAAGACTGTGTACCCAAGTATTTTGCTGGTTACTTAACAGGAGTTTCTCCTTCAAGCATGAGACACTGGTTAGTGCCAAGTGCTGATGATTCAGCACATAAACTACACCTGTTCCATAAAAAGTGGCCACATATATCCAGAGCAACAAACTCAGAGAAATTACAATATCCAGTAGTATACAATCTTATCTAGTCCTATTTTCTATACATCTATACATTCCCACACCCAATAAAAAGAGATGGCATTACTTAACTCTTCCACTGGGCTAGTGCTCAAAGAAATTAAGTTGTTTAACTTTACTCCAAAACCTTCTGGTCCAAAAACATAGGCATTATTTTTGGTGCACGGCTGACATGCCAACACACTTCATAGCTGCACTGTAATAAGAGAATAATTTAATATTTGACGGGGCAAGCAAACCTGCCAACTTCCCCTCTGAGAAGAGGCTTTTTCTGGAAAGCTGGTGAGGTGTCAGGCACATGTCTGAAATCTTACTCAAGTTGAACAGCTGAAGGTTAGCAAAACAGCTTCTGAGTTTAACATTGCCATGTCACCATCTTTCTCAAGGAGGGTGAGTATAACCAAACTCAATCCTATATATTTAAAATAGAACAACAGACTTCCTGGTACATACTCTATCCCTTGAATTAGTTGCCCTCAGAAACAAATGACAAGACACGAGATTGTTTCTCTTCTGAACTTGCTAGTGGAAGTAAAGTTAAGCATCAGGTATGTTTTTGTTATTGTTTGCATAAAACTGGGGTTTGAGGAAGGAGGGGACAGAGGAACATTGTGATGTAGTCAGGAAATCACTCTTGCAAAAAGAGGCAACAGTGCTCACTGTTGCTGAGGGATGGGGTGCTCAGGTTGGCAGCTTGTGTCCTGCATCATCTATATCCAAATAACTCTTAAATCACTATGAGAATCACTGAGAAGCCCAATTCCTTCCAAGATTATCTCAGCAGCAGATGAACTGTTTTATCATTTCCCTTTAGAAAGAGGCAGATATCTGGTTTACAATACTGTGCCACTCACTGACATCTAAGATGATATTTTCAATTCTTATGGCATTGCAACGCAAGAACTTGTGTTGGTCAAACAGTCAGTTTTCAAGAACTGACTCCTGTCCAATAACCCAGGAACGAAAGGAGTCAGCAGGTGAAACGTCTTTGCTGATATTTCATTAGGCAGCCTGACCTCAACTGCACCCCACACAAAGCAAATTTGAAACATAATTTAGGCAAAGGGACAGGTTAAGCTCTGGCAGTGCCTGGGCACTTGAGCAGAGTGTACCCTTGCCTCATTCACACAATGCCAAACACAAGCCCACCAGTCACTGAGTAATTGCTCCATATTGATTATGCAAACCCTCTCTCTGCAAGATCAAAGATTAACTTCCCTGACTTACTTCTCTCGAAAAGCAAGGAAACAACCCAAAATCTGAATGCATGGTGATGTGTTAACTTTTCTGAGTATTCTGAATACTAAGGCTAAATACTACTTCCACACTGCAAAAAGCAGCACTGGGCAACAGCAGGAATTCGACTAAGCAAAAGTATGCAAGTGTAGGAGTGCTGCCTAATTCCTAAGGAAAACAAGGCACTGGTAAGAGACCAGACGGCTTTTCTGCAGAAACTGGTCCTGCCTGGGCCTCCTCTGACCAATCCATTTCAGAGAGCTTGCACATCAACAAGAGGAAACCACAGACCCACAGGTCCAGTTTCCAGTCATACAGGACAGCTGAAAGTTTGGCTGATAGAGAATAAAGGAAAAATATACCTTACCTCCAACAGTAAAATGCAACTTTACTGTCAGGATTCTCCTTCCCAGAGAAGGCAATTGGAAATGTTCAAGGCAAGGTCCACAAATCTTCAGTGAACTGAGATTACTCTAAGGACATCATTCACTTTCAAAGAAAAATGCTCCCACAGAGCAAACGTGAAGCTGGCTACAAAATGACTGACAGTACGTCACATATCAATACGGTCATGCCACAAATACTGTGGTGTTGCTGAGAGCAAGGTTTCTAATCCAGCCTAGTTTAACAGCAGGCTGTCTGCAGAACTGTTTTAGCAATTGCTTGTTTAGGAGTTCTTCTTCCTCTCCTGCTCAAGTGTGATTTGGTTTGCATTTTAAAACTACAGGGTTTTTCCTCCCCGCCTCCAAACCACACTCATCCTTCAAAGTGATCTGTTTAAAATGATTACATCCTAAGGAGGATTCAAATGAATATAAACAACAGCTGAAAAAATAAGTGCTTTCCAAGGGATGAGTAGAAAGGTGGGTTTTCTACTCCTGGCGTGACACCTACACAACACAGCAAGGATGATTTGTTTTGCTTTGCTTTTTTAAGTCTGTGGAACATTTTGAGGTTTCAGCTCTGTTCAAATAGTACCTCTTAAAAAAGGCTTTATAGTCTACAAGGAGGTATTTCACTGGCAGGTTGACAACTATGAATAACATAATTGAATTACACAGCTAAATTCGATTTAAAAAGAAAAGCAATTAATGTGTTTTTTCCACTGATGAATTAAAACAACCATAATACGACAAATTCCTTAGAAGCAAAGACAAACTACACTCTTAATTACAAACCTATGGGTACAAAAAATACTGGGATATCAAACTTAGAGTAAAGCTGTTGCTGAAGCCTGTAAGAAGGTTATCCCTGTGCTAGGATTTCCAGCTCACTGATTATGTTCCCCCCTGACCAGATAGAAAGGTCATGATTTGTGAGCACAGTTAGACAAACATCTCCTTGCCCATCCCCTGCTGTTTTACTCTGTCCTGCAGGGTAAATTGTTTTAACAACTTTTTTTGTTAGAAGGCTTGTTAACAAGGCTATAGGGGATACAAGATGCATATCACATGCATCCATTCACAATGAAGGCTCAACGAGTTAAGATTAGCATGACCAGCTCATTCACCTGCTTATTTAATCCCTGGTGCAAGATAACTACATTAAAAGAGGAAGGGTGTAATACAGCAGCAATAAACAACCATAAAGTAACCTATTAATAATTCAAAGACTATTTCCAATATGTATCACACACATCATCAGGAAGTCCCCTTCCCTAGCTACAGAACAAGTAACATATTTGCAGTGAGCTCTATAGCTCTATGCTTGGAAAATCTGTATCCAGTTGATGAGCAGAATCTGTATCAGCACCACCGACTTCTTCAGCTGTTGATTCCTTTGAGTAATGAACTACCCAGAGCAGTAGCGGAAAGAATGGAGCCTGTCTACTTGTTTATTCAACAGACCTCTAGATGGACCCTAGAAGTAAGAACTTTTTCCCCTTTCATGAGCCAGCGAACAAGGACCGACAGAGGAGTCAACTGCTTTCATCCTCTAGCATTCTGGCGCAAAGATTACTTTTCCAACTGAAAATTAGACTTTCCTTTTCAGGGTATTTTCTTTTGACGAGCCACAATGCAAAGACAGGCTACCTCTATTAACAAAAGGAGGAAGCCCCATGACAAAGCATCGCCCCACGCCAACACATCTGATTTCGCCGTGTTATCCTTGGCACTTCACAGCGATGATGGAAACTCAAGCGCACGCTGCAGTAAGGCAAACCCCAAACTTCCAGACGAGGAAGCGGTTTTCTCACGGATGCTTCCCCCCTCTCTCCTTAGGAGAGTGTACAGATTTAGAAAGAAAGAAATCTTGCCTTTTACAGTCTCCCATTGATTTTTTTAAATTCTATTTTAAACAGCAGCCAGACTTTACTCCAATGTACACATATACTCAGGTTTCACCCCGTCACCTGTTGGCTCTCGAACAACACCCTTCTTTGTTAGGGCTCACAGCCCTCATTTGAGACAAGTTTCCAGTGAAAACACTTGAAGAAAGTGTTCAATAAGTCACAAGGCTGGAATTGTAAAGAATAGAAAAGTAAAAAAATTCCGCGCCCAGCCCTGTGTACCCTGACAGCCCCACCACGAGCGCTTATCCCGGACGAGCTGGGACGGTGCCGTTCTCAGCAGGCAGAGCTCCCTGAAGGACAGGTGGGGTTCTCTCCATCCTGACCAAGTTCCAAAGATGTTCCGGTGGGGCAGAGGTGCACCCAGCCCCTTTGGGTCCCCACGCTCTGCAGCCGGATGGCCCAAGGCACCGGCACCCACCCACTCACCCTGCCCCTCCGGCCGAGCTGCCTCCAGGGAGAGCGGATACAAGTAACCGCAAATTACCTCAGAAGTACAGAACAGCGGCCAGGCTGCCGCGGAGCCGGGGCAGGAGGCGCAGGAGCGGCGATGCCGGCTGCAGACCCGACCCGCGCCCCGTCGCGGCAGTTTCACACCGAGACCCGGGGCTGCACCCGGGCAGGCGCCGGCAGCTCCCCGCGGCTTCCCCCGTGCCCGGCAGGTACGGAGGAGCGGTCAGCGCCAGGCACCACTCTGCCGAGGGAAGGGGCAGCGGGGAGCTCCTCCAGCCTTGTCCCTGCCGGGCGGCGCCGCCACTTCCCTTCCCCGTCCCGCCTGGTGGGAGCGCAGCGGGAGAGATACCTGCGCCGCCCTCCGTCCCCCTCCCCCGGGGCGGCAAGCCAGGGAGGAAGCAGCCTCCCGAGCGCTCCTCCCCAGACTCGCCCCGAACGGGCAGCGCGTCCCGCCTCCCCCCAGGGGCTCCCCCGACCCCGCCGTACCCCAGCGCCGGGCGCCCTCACCGCTCCTCGTCAGGCGGCGGGAGGAACCTCTCCCACCGAGGATCTTCGTTCAAAGTGCTGCCCGAGGCGGGGGAGGGAGCGAGGGAAGGGGGAGAGGCTCCTGCCACCGGCCCCGAGGTAGGAAGGGTCGTCGGCCCCGCCGCCTGCCCACCCCAGGGACCGAGCGCCTGCAGAAACAATAAATTCTGCGCTCAGGACACGATGGACAGCGCTTTTGTTCGTGTTTACGCCTGAAATAGATTTCCCACCCCACCCTGGCCACGCTCCGGTCTCCCCGGGCTGACCCTGCCCGGCCCAGCCACCGCCGCCCCGCGCACCGGGACGGGAAGGGCTCGGGTCAGGACGGGAAATCATTTGTTCTAGATCGCTGTGCATGAATAATAAAAATAATAAACCAAATCTGGAGCCGAAGACCACAGAGAGCAGCTGTCCATCGCTGCCTCCTGTACCACATCTCAAGGGGGAATGAGGTGTCCGAGCCCCAGCTTATGTACAGAGAAGTAGCACCGGGACTACCGGTGCATTTCCTAAGCGGCTGCCAGCCCCCGCTTTTACCACTTCCCCCACCCCCGTAGGCATAAAAAGCCCCGAGAGGCGGTTGTTTCGGCTTCAAAGGCAGGCGGCCAGCTTCCCCCCGGCACCGCCAGTGTAACCGTGAACACTGCGGTCAAATTTCCTCTTCCCTCCCGCTCTTTTGTCTCCCTGGGGAAGTCATTATCAAAGGGAATTTATTCGCGCTGCATCTCGGGGTCAAAGCGGCAACACACACCCCCCACCTCCCTTCCGCTGCGAGGGGCAGCGGTGACCCAACCCCATGTTGTGTCCCGTCTGTCCCCGAGACCCCGCGGCCGGGGGCGGATTTATCTGCCCGACCCGCCGTGCGGGACTGAGACGGGGCACTTCACAGACACTTATCGCTTCCCCCAGGAACTGAATTTGCATGGATTTAAATTCACTCCTCTAAATTTGAATGGCTTTGTCCGCAGGGCGCTGAGGAAAGCCAGCCCTGACGGGTACAGGCGCGGCGGGTGCCGCGGGCTGAGGCGCTCAGAGCAGCGTCCCTGTCCCCAGCCCTGTTCCCCTCCGTCCCCGCGGGCTCCCCCAACCCTCGGCCGGGTACACGCGAGTCTCACGGCGGGCTAGGAGAAGCCCACACCCTCTGCTCCCGTGGGCTGATTCCCCACGGCCAGGAGCAGGCAGACAGACCTGCTGGCCGATAGACCAGGACCAACGCCGGGCTATCAGATCTCGCGTGGCACAGCCCATCCCGGGCTAACGACGCTACAAGCAGCCGATCCCCACCACCGACCGACTAGATGTGGCCGGAGACCTGACCATGTCACCTGTAACCGTGAATGCAAGAGGCCCAGCGCGGATCCAACCTCAGGGAATCAAAGCCACACTCCGCGGCTCCTGCGGCTGAAAAAAACCTGCTGAAACTCCAGCAAACTAACCAGCTCCCATCCTTCCACACCCCATTTTGCTTCCATAAGCAGTTTCACTGGTTGTACTACCTCCGTTCTGAAATGGCTAAGTAATTTTGAGATCAAAATTGGCATATCACTTGAACAAACTTTACGAGACCCAGACTGATCCTGTTCTGTTTGTTGGACTGACCAGACCCCATGTGGCTTCCAGCTGAACATCTGCCAACTCCGTTCATCATTAATCAAAAATGGAAATGTCAGGGACAATGTTTATTCTTTCCCACTACGTGACTGAATAAATACCAACAATTTTGCATATACCACCTACTCCTTTTCCAGAGGTGCCTGACCTTTTCTCAGCACCTCCCCCCACCAGAGGCTCAACACCTCTGCACAGCACATTGCAAAAATGAGAATCACCTTTGGGAACTTCTGCACCACAACCAACACAGTGATTGCAGATAAGTTTGCAAAGTTTCCTGACCACGAGTCTACTGAAGCCAACAAAGAAATGTTCACTTACTTTCCTGGTCAGTCAAACTGTCCCCCATTTTACTAAAGCTTTCTCTGACACTGAAGTGTTGGAGGACGTACAGAGATAGTTGGCTGCATGGCTCTTTTTTTTCCTGGACTTTTCTACTTTGAGTACAGAAACTACTATATTGTTCTAGACAATGCACTTATAGATTATCAGGCCAAAACCAACCATTGTGATCTTCTAGTCTGAACTAATGTGCTCATAAGATTTTCCTACAATTACTGGCTGCATGAACAAAACATCTGATCTTGATTCAAAAGTACTAGCAATGAAAAACCCATTACAACTCCTGATAAATTCACTACAGTCCCTGTTAAATTATTTCAATTAGTCAATTATTTTATACTACTTTTTTTTGTCTTTTTTTCTTTTTTTTTTCTTTTTTTTTTAAATCTCAAATTGCTGTGTTTCAGTGCTCAAACACTTGATTGTATGGTACCCTTGAACGTTAGGCTAAAGAACCAGCTATCATAACTCCCCTTAGGCATTTGCAAATTGTGAAAGTCATTCCTGAACTACCTCCTTTGATTCAGGCTGCTTCCACAAGAACAAATGTGTTGCTATGATTTTTTCTTTATTTTTAACAACAAATACTACAGCATACATACCTGTTATGTGAAGCACAAACTATGCCACAGAAGTTGCCTAAAAAAAAGACACTAAAAAGACAGGCACAAAACGACTCACCCTTTACAGCACGTAACACATTCTTGAGTGTTTGTGTGGAATTGATCCTTCAAACAACCGAATGCTTCAGGGGACCTGTGATGAATATGGAACCTTTTGTCCTAAGGCAAATTTAGTCTTGGTAATAACTTTCTTTTACTACTGACCAGGCCAGGGGTGTTCTCTGGCCTGAAAGAAATCTGCTGAGTTGTCAGTGTGGTTTCCCAGTTCCAAATTATCCACGTCAGGAACCATCCCCTGACACAACCTGGTAATTGCTACCTTTGTTGGCAATCACAGAAGAGAGACCAAGGAGCAGAAAAGTAATGAACTGCTTGTGCTTCAGAGGCAGCTTTCTGTGGATAAACAGAAGAGTTCACCCTCTGCATCATCACCCTGTAATGATCACCACCTCCATCCCAAGAATTTTAATTAATCATCATCTCACCTGTTCATTTAAAATAAAAAGCTGCAAGTCAGCTATGAAAGGTAAAAGCATGCAGTAAGGTGGATGGAAGCTAGAACAAAAAAAAAAAAAAATCTCAGTAATAATTCTTTCAGAGAAGTCAGAGAGAAAACTCTTCAAAATAAACCAGGTTTTCTGCTTTGAAATAAAACAAACCAGGAAAGGTTTTTCATATACTTGACAGCACAGGAGTCGTCCATGGAGCTACAACTGCAACTGTTTCCCAAGGGTTATGCACAAATCAAAGCCAATCTCTGATGCAGGCAGGCAGATATGCCCTTCAGGAACTTTAGGGATGATGACTTGACCATGTACGGTCCTGCCTGCAGGTTACAGCACAGGGAGCTAGCTCTAGGATGCATTTAGAGCACTAAAGTCCTTTTCACCTTCAGTGGTCCCAGGTCTATGCCCCAAGGGAGTGAAGAGACCAGAATAAGGGAAGTAGTTTCACCATGATCTGAGATGATCCACTGGAAAACCCAGTCCAGTGAAAAATGCTGGTTTAATTTCCTTGACCTGCCACTGTTAGCACAAGGAAAAACCATGACAAACTCCTGAGAGGCTCGACTGTTGTGGAGCTGCAGGCTCAGTTCCCGGCCTTGTTTCCTCTCTCTTCTGGGAAAACTGGCTGTTTATACACACTTGCTTAGTGGTATATAAACATCCTGACCTCCAAGACCACTTTACATTTACTCTGTTTGCCTCGGTGTGTTCAGAAACCCCTGTGGACATCCACTTGCATCTCCAGATACTTGGAATACTTGTCAATCCCTTAAGTTTCCTCTCACAGGTTAAAGATATGAGGGCTGGAAGTATGCCTTCACAGGTGGGAACAGTCTACACTATTTTAACACTATATACAATTACTAGGAGACACCTGACACACTGGATGTCCTTGAAGCAAAGCTCAAGCCCTGAAGGACCCCATTGAGCCACCAGCTCCTCTCTGAGCCACTTCACACCTGCAGCCATAGGTGAAACCTCTCCCCATTCAACACTGCTTCCTCCTGCTCACCAAATGGGAGAGTTTGGTGCCAACAGTGGATCACCATGTGCTGCTGGCAGCAGGGGCAAACCAGTGTCGTTACCAACATAATTTGGCCTCTCAACTGTGCCACTGACTGGTGTCTGCCTGTATTTTCTTTCTTGAGGCTGCAGAGAAAGGGCATGGGGCAGCATCTTATGAGTTCTGATGGCTCCAAAGTCTGAATCTTTGCCAATTTTTAAATAATGTTTAAAAATAACATTTAAGATCCAGAGAAAACCAGCTCTATAGGAGACATAGTAGTAAAACACAAGATACAGGAATTAAAAGGAAGAGTGCATGTGAAATGAAACAAGTTAAAAAAAAAAAAAAAGATTAAGATTACTTTTGCCCAGCAAGGGTTTGTGATTAAATGAGGGTGCTTGGTTTCCACTCTCCTCTTTGCTGCATTCCTTGTGATCCAAAAGCTTGCCTTTTGCCTGCCTCAGTTGCAATGCAGACAGGACACTGCCACAAATGACTTCAGAAAGTAAGTCAATACATCCAGTGGATATAATAACATCAGATAACAAAATGAGACAATCCAGTAGCACTAGGCAAATAGATAATAATAATAAAAAAGCTCATTTTTATTTTCACCAACCAGTAGTACATAGATCCACTGAGGCATCAAGCAATCAAGCATCAAGGAGAGAAACAGTGCCTACACCAGCTACAGATGGCCTGAGGACTGGCTGGCATCAGCTACTGTGTTGGCAATGCTTGACTAAGAGAGGTTTATTTTATTTCCTTTCCTTAATGCTCTCAGAATTGAAGACCAACACACCTTCTAAAACCACGATCCTACTTCGCTTCAGCAGCAGAGAATTAAAATTTCATTAAAATGCCCTTCCTTGTCAGATCGGGCTAGGACTTGCTCCTGAACCAACAGGTCTGTTGCTGTATCTGGAAACTCTTAACCCCACAGGCTCATCTGAAGACAGCAATCTTGATTTTATCGTAATTGGCTCCGCTCAGCCCACGGTCACACAGGCCAGAGGAAACTGCTCCACACCACTACCACAACCACCAGCTGATGGGCACGAGTGGGGCTCCCCTGCCCACACTGACACTCGCGGTTCATCAGTGCCCTGTTCCCAGGCTGCACAAGGC